TAGGGGTGCCTTAATTCATCTATTCCCCTCACCATCGACTAGTCCCATCACAAAACTGAATCTGCCAATTCATCCCCATGCACAAACACCAGTTTCCTATATCTTTATGCACTAATGACCATCCATCGTTAAGACTGAACCTGCCACTTCATTTCCATACACAAAAGATTTGTAATTTGAATTGACATCCTCACATACGGCATATGTCTGTGCCTGGCCTCCACTCCACCAAATTCATCTGAGGAAGTAGACTAAAGTCTATGAAAGCTCATGCTGCCAATTTCTTTCTTTCCATTAGTCTCAAAAGTGCTACAAGATCTCTCTACATACTGATTCTACAGACTAACATGGCTATATCTTTGAATTCTGTTAACATAAGTTAAGGTGGCGAAAGTAACAGATGATATTCCAATCGAACTGCTACAATCCAAACAGACAGAATCAACTCTAGTGTTAATCAATATATGTCAACAATGATGGAAAACAAAATGGTGGCCAACAGATTGGAAATGATCAATATACATCCCCATCCACAAAAAAGGAGACACAACTATAGGACCTCAGCATTAATTTCCCATGCAAACAAAATCATGGTCACAGTTCTGCAACACAGACTCCAACCGTAACTGGAGAGAGAAATGCCAGAGGTGCAAGTAGGGTTCAGAAAAGGAAGAGGCGCTAGGGACCACACTGCAAGCATACGATGACTAATGGAGTGCACCAGGGACTTCCAAAAGAAAATCAGCATGTGCTTTATAGACTATAAAGCTGCACAGATCATAAAAGGCTATGGAATGCCCTTAAAGATATGGAAGTGCCAACACATCTGATAATCCTGATGAGAAATCTGTACTTAGGACATGAGGCTACTGTTGGAACAGAATGGTTCCCAATTGGCAATGGAGTCAGGCGAGGATGCATCCTATTGCCCTATTTGTTCAACTTATATGCAGAAAATATCAAAAGAAGAGTAGGATTAGACTCAGAAAAAGGACGAGTAAAGACAGAAGGAAGAAATATCAGCAACCTAAGATAAGTGACACCATACCACTAGCAGAAAACATCATGGACTTGGAACAATTATTAAGGAA